TCCCGATACTTCCGTGTAATACCAGTAGTTGTAAGGTATTTCATGGGTTTAGGGCTTCCCATGAAGATTTTATAAAATCTTACCATATCCTATAGTAACTAACTAAACGATGAATGATTCTCTTGAAACCTAAATGATAAATGGAGTGAAATAAAAGTCTAAAAATAGTAGTAAGTCAATTGCAGTAAAGTGGTATCATTTCATTTTATTTTGGGGGATCTATTCAGTTACAAACTCCATGCAAAATATTTGATATCAAAAGTGAGGTAAAATTATTATTGGGTGTAATATGGCTATCACAAAACTTAGGACCCAGAGATAATGCTTGTAGTGCTACCATATCAAGATCATGATTGGAAAAATTATGAATATACTGACTAGGATTTCGAGGAAATCACATTTCTGGAGTCCGGTTCTCCAAGCTTTGAATAAGGTGAATTCTTTTCTTGTCCTTCCTTTTGCTAACAACTTGATTCACACATGGATAGTCATATTACACCTAATGGAATAGACACTCAAATTTAGTTTGAAAACTTATGCTCACAGACAGAAGACTTATCATCTTCTTCAGGTGAGGAGGTAGAAAGATTGAAGTCCACTCTGGTTGACTGCTGCTACAAATTTATGAATAGTAAACAGAATGCTAGAGGCATATTGACTAAAAAAACAGTAGCCTCACATAAACTCCGAATGAACCAGAATCTACTGACCACTAGGCTTGATAAAGGTTCAGGGGTGGTTATTATGAACAATGTGGAATACCCGGATAAAATTAACAGCCTTCTTAGTGATCACAATAAATTTCAGAAACTATCAACCAATACTGACATGACAGAGAAGACAGAGAGGCAATTATCTGAATGCTTAAAGAAGTTGAAACAGCAAGACTTCATTTCATAAAGAGTGTATGAAACACTTAGACCTACTGGTACAGTAACACCGAGGTTATATGGTTTATCAAAAGTGCATACGAACGGATTACCACTCCGACCAATTCTTGACATGTCAAACTTTCCCTATCATGCGACAGCGAGATGGCTAAAACAACTCTTGCAACCATTGTATAAGGAGGTTGTAAAGCACAGTGTCAAAGATACCTTTCACTTTATTGATAAGATATTTAAATGTGAATAATAAGTCCATGATATCTTTGGACATCTTATCCCTATTCACAGATGTCACTCTGATGGAAACGGTGGACTTCATATGTAGCGAACTGGAAAAGAGAAATATAGAAATTGAAATTACGGCATCCACCTTGAAAGAGTTTCTCTTACGATGTACAATGAATGTACACTTTCTCTTCAATAAGGAATTCTATAAATAGTCAAACGGTGTAGCTATTGCGTCACCACTAGACCCAGTCTTAAAGGATTTTTTCTTAGGGAAATTAGAAAATGACCCTCTAGAAAGTTTCATAAGCGGGTTAGAATTTTACTGCCGTTATGTAGATGATACATTCTTAATTGTGAATAACAAGAACAATGCAAGGAGTATACTGGATAAATTCAGCAGTATCCACCCAGAGGTAACCTTCACCATTGAGACGGAAAATGATGGCAGCATCACCTTCTTAGATGTCCTATTGACAAGGAAGGTGGGTGGAACTGCAAAAAGAAGTGTATATAGGAAACCAACGTCAACAGGTCAATACACCCACTTCTTGAGTTTCATTCCCTTGCAATATAAACGGAACTTGGTCAAATGTTTGGTCCATTAGGCTAGACTCATCTGTTCAGATGATACTTTTGACGAAGAGCTTCAAATTATCCGTAATCTACTGAGTAGTAATGGATATCCTGAAACGTATCTGGTTAAAAATATTGACACGTATAACATGAAAACCAGAATACGTACAGCCTTCAAGAAACCATTGTTCCTAAGACTGCAATTTCGAGATAAAATCATTAGCGAGATTGTGACACAGCGCCTAAGAATATCATTCAATGCCACAAGGTTATACTGTGTATTCTACAGTCGGCAGATGATGACAACGCGAACTAAAGACAGACTACCTGACTTCTCTTCTATGTACATTTACCAGTTTAACTGCTCCTGTGGAGCCAACTACATTGGACGTGCAGTTAAGCAAGTCCATCGTCGAATAGCCGAGCATCACCCTTCATGGCTAAGTTAGGGGCAAATCAGATCGATACGAAGCTCAATACTCTCTAATCTGATTGACAATGGTCACCGAGTTTACATTCACAATGCCTTTAAAGTTATTCATCACATTCCTTCTAACTTCATCCATGCTCTACAAGTTCGCCTTTTACATACAGCAGAAGCCATAGGAATCCAACTAAACAATCCAAGGCTGTGTGTTCAGAAGACATTCGTGCAGCCTCTTTCTTTGCCTTGGCCATTTGTATAGCTTATGTATTACAAAAAGACCCTTCATTTCATTCATTCAACAACTGATTGTAACTAATATTTTAATAACTCTATTATTGTTATCGTTATTAGTACAGTTTTTGCCATCTTATTCTCCCCCTTCTGTCCCCTATTACTATCAACAGTTTACCACTTAACGTAACAATTCATTTTCGCTCTTTAGTTACCATTGTACAAAATATCAATTATGTAAGAACCTGTTTAAAATTTCACAAAATCTTTCTACCATAATTAATCTATGCTTTAGTTCATTGTCTTAATTACCTGATCAATTATCTCCTTGTTGATACTTTGAGATTGATAACATTTCATTAAACAACTTTCACCACTAGACTGGTATGTAAATTTACGCATTTAAAATCCTGTTTTAGTGTAGTCACTGATGAGAAACTTATTGAAAAGAAATATTTCTTCGCTTACATTGGTGTTTTACTAAGTGTCTAGACGGGAATTCAACTTATTTGACACTCCATAATGGAAAACAGTTTTCATACTGCTCAAGTAATTCGCAGTGTGAGATTTTTATTTCTCTTTCTGTAGCATTTCGTTAGACGACTCTCAGTGACCTTACATCTCCCTTCATTTTGCTTGGCCGGATAATATTGTGTCAAAGTATCTTCATTTTTGATACGTTTTCACTGTTAAATTAATAAAGAAAAGGAATTATATCTCACTTTTGATATCAAATATTTTGCATGGAGTATGTAACTGAATAGATCCCCCAAAATAAAATGAAATGATACCACTTTACTGCAATTGACTTACTACTATTTTTAGACTTTTATTTCACTCCATTTATCATTTAGGTTTCAAGAGAATCATTCATCGTTTAGTTAGTTACTATAGGATATGGTAAGATTTTATAAAATCTTCATGGGAAGCCCTAAACCCATGAAATACCTTACAACTACTGGTATTACACGGAAGTATCGGGAGAAAGCATATGAAACAATGGGTAAATATGAGATTGGTTGAAGGGAGGAAAATCAATAGGAAATTTGGATATTTGGGGGGGGTGCTGGAAGTAGCCAAGACCATTGTAAACAAATATAAACTATTTTATATTGTATATTTTTGTCGACAAAGCAATACACCTGTTATCTTACCGCCTTTTTTCTTTTTCTGAGAAACTATAGGATTGAGAAGGGGTAGAATCTGAAGGTTATTGCACACGCAATCACCTATATCTAACTGAGGTTGTATCAACCAGTCAATAAGAGGTTTTGACAAGTGATAATAGGGTCAGAAGAAGTGGTAACTGGGATGGGTAGTTGATATAAAGCTGTCTACTTGAGCAAGCATTGAAACCATACATCATACATGCTATTATCTTTTTGATTTGTGTGTTCTTTATTGGCGTACAGATCATGTATTTACTATTACCATATTAAATAAATGAAAATTGCAATCAGTAATAGTAACTTAACAGACTGCGGAAATGTGTTCTTACTTTCTTTTAGTAAAGTGAAATAGCTGTGTTACAATCTCATAATGAAAGTGAAGTTAATACATTTCTTGGCCATTCATACAGCTACATAACCTGTGGATGTGTTTATTTACTTCATATCGCAGAATCAACTTTAAAATCCAGAAAATGCTGTTGTAATTCTTGTCAGAATCAGGTAACAGAATATTCATTTGTATTCGCATGACCTATATACAAATCCCTTGATGTTTTTTAAGAATACAGTACTAGTTATTACGTCTGGATACATAAGTCCGGATTCATTCAATATATCTACATTCCTTAAGCAGTATTTTGTCAATAGAGCAAGCCTCTCGTTTCACAATCTATACATGAGCTTATTCTTGAACGAATGTACAAGATAAAACAGAAATGGGCAAGGTAATTCATGGTAACTTATGAAAGGAACTTTTTCGGTTAGTAAATCATTCACCTGAAGACTAAATTACACCCAGAACAAGTTCGACCCTCAAGAGATATTGTTGTTCTTAACACATTTAAACTGAAGCACCAAGGCTATGTATGATATAAACCGTAACTTTTGTTTGTGAGATATACATATAAGTGTACCTTCTGTTTTTTCGGGACGTAATTTTTTTCTCCCAAATGCATTTCCTATGTGTTTAAGATATGATCGTACCGTCATTTTAGCCAAAAATGTTTCATTGAAGCACTTCCTGCCTCTAGGATGAGCTTGATTTGTGGCTTCTCATAAAATGTTGGATAATTCGTCTCCAATGTAAACTACTATCTAGCCTGTTTTGCCCCGAGGCTTGTGAATCCACACTTCAATGCATTTATTGCAGTTTTTCGTTGATTAGATACTACATTAATTCGTAAGTGTGCTTTGGTTTGAATCTGGCTACCGCTCAAAGTTTTCGTTAACTTCCGTTTAATGTGACTGAACTTGTTCAAACTGCACAGCACCTCGCCTATTTGTTATAAAGTCTTTCTGATTAAATCCACCGACCTATAATGCATTCATTGTTAGCCATAAATCTTCTGTGATTTATTTAGTTTTCTCTTCTGCAGTCATACGTGATGGTGTCATTATTGTTTACAGATAGAAAGTAAGTCTAACGGCAATATATACTGAGTGAATCTATAAATATACTAATCAAGGATCTATTATGTCACTTACCTGTTGGAACAATTTCACTCACGGCAACAGCTTGGCTGAATTCTAAGTAGTTCTTTACACTTGAAGTTACCTGTTCATTCTTATTGTCCTGTAGGTGCTGTTTATTGTTAAATTGATTACGAAAACAATGATTTCTCTGTGATTTAGAGTTATGTACACATGAATATACTCGACAAGCAAGTCTGGTCTTCCGAAAAGTCGTAAACACACCACCACCATTAGGTAAAATGGATGCTGATATTCTTAAGCCTGGATCATGTTCACATACTCGGCCTATCCTCGTTATGGTGCTGGCTATTTTAGAAAGCTTCAAAAAAAAATAGAAAGACAAAAAGATCTTGAGTGGTGAAATGATACATTGACAGTCAGTAATAAAATGAGCATTTTAGCACAATCCCAACATAATTATGTAGTGAGCATTCAAATAATTTTGTCAATTGTCTAAAATGGTATGATTCCCAGTTACAAACTTCAAGCAACAGATTTCAGAAAGATGGCTGATAAACAGATAGTAAACTTTATTGATGAAAACAAAATAGTATTTTGCTAATTCAAATGGTTTTTGCATGAATAGCTGGGTATACAAGTATTTAATGTTCAAAACTTTAAAAGGAATGAGTTTTTACAGTATACCATAAAAATGTCCTTAGATGAAACATTGCTGCTGGTTAACGCTATTTTTTAGCGTTTATCCACTGCTATACATTCACTGCACTTGCCGAAGGATTTAGTTTCATATGTGGTACTTGGTAACAGTATTTAGTCTTAAATTATATCATTTCATCTCCAACAGTAATAATAGTAAAATCCTGGACTTTGATTTCATACGACTTGGGATTTTTATAATGAAGCTTTTAAAATTTTACCGGAAAACTAGTCTTTATTATTTCGATAGTCACTATGCTGCCTCCCCCCCTCTTTAATTAAAGTAGATTTGGAATGGGGAGATAAGCCCTGACTAAGAAGCCAGTGTGAATACGATAAAGTGATAGTGACGCGTAACAATTTTACATGGCAGCTGAGTAAAATCTTTGCTGATTAAACTGAAGTAAAAATCAGGTCAGTAGTCAGGTCTCCTAGCTCAGTTAGTCGAGCACCGGGTGGGAAATTTCGTGTTCGCTGGTTTGAATCCTGTCGCAGCCTAAATCCTAACTCCACCTTGAATCGTCATCCAGTATTAAAGCTAGTTCTTATTCAACCTCATTTTCCAACTGATTTCTACATTGACACAAATATATATGTCTGCACCGGATGAGCCAAACTGACACTGTTTTTCTGCATAACTTATTTAAGGACATATATCAGTATTAAAATCTTCACAACGGTGCAAACTGTAGACTATATAGAAGTTATCTATTGAAACAGTTAGATGAGTTCACTGCAAGTAAACCGATATGTTAAGCGGTTTCTTCAGTATTTCTTGTTTTGAATCGAACAGCTTTTATTATAAATTGAAAGCTAATTATGAAATGATTGGTCCTGTGTTGTGAACATGAATTGTTCCAAGTACTACCACAAGCAGATGGGTCGCTTATCGGCCTCCGTTATGCAGCCAATAAGTTTGCTGTTACCTTTTTAGTTTTCACTCTGATAATCTTCGCTAACGACTTCAAGGCCTATATTAGCAGTACGCTAAAGGCGACTTCAAATGTGAAGTTACTTCAAAGCTCAAAGGTTATAGGACTGAAAAAAACAGTTTTCATTTCCTCTAATAATCTCTAATGTTTTTACTGTATGATCACCAGTAAAATTGCTAAAGTTGTAACCTCCCTTAGTATAGTGAAAGAAAGCACTGGCTGAAGTTTTACTTAAGATTAACTGGTTGGTGAAGACAAGTGCAGTATTTTAACCGAATATTACCAACAGAACAATCGTTATTTGGGTTGGGGCAAAACTCGATGAACTTCTGTTTATTTATTGACTTATGAAAAAAGGAAAATCAGTAGAAGTAAGCAAGTAGATCTTATTGACAGAGACCTGAAGAAATGACATAAATGACAAGATAGAAATAACACTTGTTTGTTTTTTATTCTATTCTAACATTTTGATAAATTAAGGGAATAATTTTATGCAAAAAGGCAAAAAAACTTATTTCCATTTGTCATCAATTAGTATAAGAGTAGCAGCAGTATTAGTAGTAGTAAGATTATTACTAGCAATTGAAGTAATCAATTATTGTTAACCCCAGAAAGTGGACAACCACTTTATGATTTAAACTTTATGTACTCTCAATAGTAACGGGTCGCTTTTGACATGCAATGTTTACCAGTGAGTTGATAATAGCCAGAGCGTTTTCACCATCTGCCCATGGTGCATGATTTGTAGGCGGAAATTTGAATAGAGAATATGTTATCTCATTCACTGGTATCGAAATAGGAGAGTAAAACAAAAGGTTTGATTCATAAAAACGCTTTCCCTTAATGAATACAATAGTCATATTATAAAAGTAAAACTAAATCACTTCTTGAAAAATCATAAAAGAACTTGATAGGATTATATTTTACTGTTTAAATAGTTGGTGCCTGTGAATTAAAATACCGATCGTGATTAGAACTTCCTACTTATAAGATGTTAGGTAGGTTTATCATTGTGTATAGTAAACAGTAAAGTCAAAGCAGAGTATTTGCCGAATAAGGATACTTAATATACTTAAAAATATATATTCGTCAGCTACATGCGACATAGAATAATGAGAAGCCAATATACATTCATAAACATATTTGTGACTTCTTACTATATTAGTTCATATATTGAGTAAGAGCAGTGGATTTTTACGTAATAAAGGTCTCGTACACATGAATTCAGTAAAGTTAGATATATTTGTAAGTAGGTCTATGAATGCTCTGCGACAGGTGAAAGAAATCTAAATATCTGAAACAACAGGTTTGCAGCCGTACAAAAATCTCTACTGTTAATGACGATAAGTCAACATGATACCGATGACAGTTGTGAAAAGTTTTGTCAAAGTGATGATGAAATTAAAAATAGTTATAAAAGAAGGGATATGGAAGTCTAAAGAGGTATAGTAGAGGTAAAGATCGAAATCATTCACTACTAAATTACTAGAAGACTGATTATTATTTCCTTTTTAACACTAAAGTTTACTGCTATTTACTGAATAGTTTCACCTTCAGATAATCAAAGCGCATTTGACGAGTTCAATCTGTTGGTGAATTTTAAGGTTTCTGGAATATTATTCACAGATCCTTCGTTGGGTAAGTCGAGGGATGTTGCACTCACAGGAGAACTATAAACATCTAGAATCAAATTTGTTGGTACATCCTCAAGAACCTGGATAGATAACCATCTGTCTTCCCTTCTGATGTACTAACTTTCACGCATACCTGTAAATTTGTTTAATATGACTGCATTGATGTGTATGAGACTTATATTATGTAGGACTATATTCTTCCTATTCAATGTTTGAACTAATATTATGAGAGTTCACACGCATGGTTATAAATGTATGCTAACTTCGAACTTATTTATATTACATACAGCTGGTGAAATTCGTATGAAGTAAATCAGGTGATCTTATTTAGCAAATACTGGTCATACGGCTTCATCACACAAATTTCTTGTATGTAATAAAACAAGAGTTCAGTATGCAGATTTTATTACATATAAGGTGGTCCACATGACTGACAATATCAACCTAGAACCTGGCATATAACTGCGTCATCTCACACTTCACTGTAGTACACAAAGAACAGGTGACTAGAAAAAGAGTTATATCAAAGTAGACACAGTTGTATGAGACCATAAGCAATTGGCAGGTAAAGGTTAGTAGGAATATTCAAGCTTCAGATATCAATGAGTGAACATATCTACCCCATTGTTATCATTTTTCACCTAGAGTCCTCAACCACTGATTCTTATCGTCTCGAGGACTCCAGACAGGTAGTCCATATGTCCCCACACGGGTCAGACCAATAGTCAGAAACTTCATCGACTTGTGCTAGGTCTTAGTTTGGCCACCATGAAGTTTCTTTCAACCTAATTCGGCTTTATCTAGCATAGCATATCGATACGGGTGGTGGCTCATCATACGCAGTACATGTCCAAGCCATCTCAATTGACTAGTGTTCACAACTTCATAAATCAACCTGCCTATCTTGCCTAGTACCCTTCGTCTGACATGAGCAATGCTCACACGGCGAGTTCACTAAATGCAAACAATGCTACGAAAACACCTGTGACGCATGTGCTTCACATGCATGCGTACACATTCAATCCTAAACCCTACAGTCATCATAACATTTTTAAAGGTTTATTCGGTGGGTCACCTAGTTGATACAGCCATTATATGAGCGATGGATCGGAATAATGATGGCATTATGCGCCTCCTTAGTTGTTTACTAAGACTCGGTGATCAATAATTTTCAGTAGATTTGAAATTATAGTACGATAGATAGTCGTAATTTCTTGTGAGTAATTGTACCACACTCCATGAACCAGAGTGTTACCAGATTTCTTTAGCGAGGTTTTCAACAAGTTTATTTGTTTCCCAGTTTGCATCGTGCTTAGTTCCACTATCTGCTGTTTTTTTATGCACAACAAAATACCGAACATTCCGAAGATATGTTTTTAACTCATTAGTCTTTTTTAAGTAGGTAAACTATCATGTTTTATTCTCAAGTGTTGATCAGCGACTAACGATCCCGTTCTGCGTACTGTTTACTACTTAGGTAAGCGATGCATTCACAACTAGCGGCAGGGGGATCAGGTAGACTGGATGCTACTGGACACCGTCAGATTCAATCAGCAGAATTTTTAATCGTGTGTAGCTCTGGTTGATTGGTATAGGCACTTCGTTTTAAACCAATAGTTCGTGGGTGCGAACCCAGTTCCACCGAGTGAGGTTTAAGTAACCAGATAGTGTCATTAGCCCTTGTACAACAGTTGTACCTCATTACTAACTACACGAAAGTGCACCAGGTTGCTCAATAGATTTTTTTTCCGATTTTCTACAATTTTAATTAATAAAAGTGGACAGAAATAAAATTCAAATGCTAGACTTGTTCGAGAAGTATATTCAACTGCATTTTCTAAAAGTGATTGTATAACCTCAAAAAACATACAAATTTATATTTCAGTCGCCTAGTTGATAATTCACTGATAATTACAGATTAAATACCTATAAAGCTAGAGATTGAACCCAAAATTTAGTAACCTACAGTGTTGAGGGAAAAATTTGTGATATAATTCTAAACTAGATTATGGTTGCATTATTTATCCGGTAATTCGTCATGAATGAAGATTACCTGGTAAACTAGTTACTTCTCAGCTCTGAAAGACTTCATACTT